GTAGTAGTAGTAGTAGTAGTAGTAGTAGTAGTAGTAGTCGTAGTAGTAGTAGTAGTAGTACCAGTAGTAGTAGTAGTAGATGTAGTAGTATTAGTAGTAGTAGTAGTAGTAGTAGTAGTCGTAGTAGTAGTAGTAGTAGTAGTAGTAGTAGTAGTCTTAGTCGTAGTAGTAGTAGTAGTAGTAGTAGTAAGTATAGTAGCCGCAGTAGTAGTAGTAGTAGTAGGAGTAGTGTTAGAGTAGTGAGTAGTTTAGTAGTGAGTAGTGGTAGTAGTAGTAGTTAGTAATTAGTAGTAGTAGTAGTTGTAGTAGTAGATGTAGTAGTAGTTAGTAGTAGTAGTAGTCGTACCAGTGGTTGTTTTTGAGTTGTGTAAGTAGTAGTAGTAGTAGTAGTAGTAGTAGTACCCAGCCTGCCTCGCGACTGCATCTCCCACCCAGTCCCACCCTGACATACTATGATCCACGGGGGTGCCTGGCTTTTGTCATCCAATCGTTACTCATAGCGTTCGTGTGCTTGCTTTTCTTTTCCTTTGCTGTCTTCGCTTTCTCTCATTGAGACCAGGAAGGCGCAAGGATGGAACACTGGGAGTTCACGGAGGTTAACCGTATCGGGAAGCGAAAGTTCTTGTCGTGTGTCCTCTTCGCGGGCGCTTCCCAGGCAACAGGAGCATGCACCTGGCTAACGTCGAACCTCAGAGATCAATGCTTGCATCTTTGTTTTCAGAGAGGGATCTGTTCGGCAATTCGGCAAGGCGTTTCTCAGTTTTGCTTGGTCTTTCTGGGTGACACTGGGTTACAACTATTCAAAGGAAGGGGCTTCCCTTCGACGTACATGTCCTAGAGAAGCAAATCAGAGATGAACTAACATGAGAACTGTCCGTAGTTTTGGAGTCGTGGCTCAAGCGTTTCGAACCTCGCAGCGAGTATCCTGGAACCTCATGGGGAAAAGGTATTCGCGGCGTTGCTTTGTCTCGCGCAGGCCATGGGGCTCGCGATGCGGATCTTTTCCGTCGCTTTCTTCTGCTGATTGTGGATGCCCGAACTACGCTTGCCCTCGGCGATAACTTCGAGTTGAGCTGGGAGAAGTTGGGGCTACGCAGTGACAAAGAGATGGCAGTGAAGGATTTCCACGAGTTGATGCGGGGCGGTAAGGCGGTATTCAATTTACCGCGCGCCCAGCAACTCAAATGTGGTGATTTCGCCCAGAGAATGGATATGCTCAAACGTCAAAGGCGCGAACCCGCGAAGTGGGCCGCCTACCACGTCATTCACAGTTTGGCATTTTTACAAGAACGGCACCACGGGGAGCGCATGTCGGAGACTGCTACGAGATGCCGAGAGAAGGGTCTCCCAGTGTTCAACACGAGCTTGCAGTTTTCGGCGGTTGCCGAAAGAGATGCGCTGTTGAATAATAAACCTTACCCCATCAAGTACAGTAAAGCAATCGAGATCAAGGGTAAGACGAAGCGTGAGGTCGGCGAAGCAATGTGCTCGGAGATCTGGGGCGTGAGTCGCTTCGCGGTGTCTCATGCTTTCCTGCTCCTGGGCTGTGCTTCAGCGAAAGGCCTGGCGTCCAATGGTATCTCAAAGATTCATGACTCCGCCTTCTTCGGAGATGGATCCGACTGGTGCTTGTCGCTCCTTGCGGGGGCCTACCTCGGCTACGCCGCCCGCCTGGAGCCCGAGGCTATGGGGCTCCTCTGCTTGCGTGAGCGTGTGGAATTTCGACGAGTTGCGCGCCATGCTGGGCAGGGGGGAGCTCGCCGAGATTCCGTTCTTTGTCGAGAAGTCTGCTGGTGGTTCCTGGTTAGCCCTTCCGGAGTGCTTCGCTGACGTGCTCTGTGAGGGGCGCCAGGCCATCTCAGTGTCTTACGGGTAGCGGCGCTTGAAGGATCGATGGGAATAGAAACGCACACATGTCTGTGTCAGTTGGGAAAGAATTACAGCCGAGTCTCGGCGACAAACGTGACGGCGCCAGGATTCAGGATCGATGTTTTCCAGTCTGAAAGCCTTGCCTGGACAGAGAAGCTCAGATATGTGAAGATTTAGAAAAGAGTGTTAAGACACAGTTATGCGTATGATTCTATCTCAAAGGATCTTCGGACGTGCTACTTCGAGCGGGCTTCGGGCAAGCGGATTAAACAACCTCGGCTGGCGGCAAGTGCAGTTCAACCCGAGCGTACCCGATCCAATCGTACCATCAAGAAGACGAAGAAACGCAAGGTGAAGAAATTCCGTGCCCCCACGCAGGCTGAGATCGACGAGATGTTCGGTTCCTTCTCCGACGACGAGTTGTGTTCGGCTGACTTCCGTGAGGACCCTGGGGGCGATGGCTTCGTCAATGAAGGCTCTGCAAATTTTGAGGACGGTCTCTTCGACCCGGAGCCCAACGCAATGAGGATGGGCCCACCTTGCCGCCGAGAGCCTGGTGAGTCGAGCGACTGGGCTTAAGCACCAGTTTTGATCCTCAAAGTTTGGTTCTCACAGTTTTGATGCCCACCTCTCATCCCACGCAAAGAGAGGAACGCCATATCGCTATCCATTGCCATTGGTGATATCTCCAGGATGTCCTGGACCAGGTCGTCTCGTGAATCGCCTGGACTCTCTCTGGAGAGTGGATTGGGAATCGAGACTTTTTTTGCCAGTCGATGGTGGTCCACCCTCCTCGTGGTGACTGGTGTCAGTAGGGTCTGGCGGGTGCTCTGTGAGCGTGCGCTGGGCCCGAAGCTAAGAGACTACCAAATGAGATACAACCCTAAGGGATGGAGACTCGCTTTTGGGCGAAAGCTTCAAACGAGCATCAGAGATGTAGCTCTGGGAGTAAGCGCTAGTTAAAACA